AACACAGTTACTGACTCAAATTGTGTGCTGCATGTGCCGCGTACTGTTAATTTGTAACTTTATTGCCAAAAACCGCCCACTGCTAGACAGTTACCCATTTTCGACCCTTTTATAGAAAAGGAAAGCAAAGTTATAGTTATGTTTAAAGTTTTATAGTTTCACAAAATTATTTTCACAGTTGATTCATAATTTCCGAAAAGTAAATTTATTTCCTTTGGAAATCTCAACAGCAGATTCTGCAGACAAACATTGACTGACTGTTTGCAACTGTACGTTGCTTGGATTACAAAATGCACACTCCATTTCGCAGTAAACTACTAAAATCAAAAACACACATGAAAAAGCAGAGGTTCAACCTAAATAAGTATAAAAGGTAAGGTCAGTACTTGCTTCCACGGTTATTTTTGTTCTATCAGTATACGCATTACAATCAATGATCTCGTGCCTGCAATTGTTACGCCCCAGTATGCCTAAAGAACGTAGTGTGCAAGACTCCTACCATGCAATTTATGAGTTAGTAGTAAACTCAGATATTAACTTAATCGTGTTTTAAATAATCCAATAGGTGCGACTGCTATTTCGCGTTCGATACTTTTTATTCTAAAGTAAACCGGTTTTTTATTATCTTCCGTCATAAAAAGTGAATAATTTAACCTCTATTATTGCTCAAAATTATTATCTTTATAGATCATATGCATTTCGAGAAGAAATCCCATTGAGTATTAGGTATTCTGAGGCCGTTCAATGTAAAAAAAACATTTAATCGAATGATATAAATATGGTATGTTAAGGTCAAAATGGCTCATTTCGCAAGTAGTTTATTTATTTTTCATTAGGAGAGAGAAAAACTTAAAAACGCCGAGTTTGATGGGACAGTTTTAAGGCTTTATAGCTGAAATGAATCTTGGATTTTAAAATTCACGAATTAAATGAGTACTGATAAAAAAGTATGAACAGTATACGTTTTTATTCGTCGGAAGAGGACCTCAAATAGTACTTTTGCTCGTCTTTGGCCTATTAAAAATTGACACAAAAAATAGTTCAAAGACAGATTGGATGTGAAAAATCTTCAAAGTTGCCATTAGATGGGTGCTAACAGAGGCTTTTTATATACAAAAGAATCAAATAGACAAATTATAAGGTAACTCGGCGCTCGCCTTTTAACTTACTTGCTGGTTTGATTCATATAAGACAACCTGTTCTACAGTGGGGGCATTTACTGAGAGTAAAAAGTCATTGTTAATGTTCATAAAGGCTAAGCGAAACTATGTTCTATTGTATTTATTTAGCAGTTAATCAGCAAAGTAGAGCGAATTTAATTGAACCGTTACGACCTTTTCGCCGTTTTTCTTAGTGCATCTTGCGTTCTTAGGACGAAACCTATCCTTTTTTTCTTTGTCACTTTTACCTCCGACGAAAGACTCCTGCACCAGAGGAGTAATGAACTGGTCACGGAGATCGAACGATCGTCTTTTTTCCTTCTGATACAAACATCGCGTACGCGGACATTCGCCTCAGCTCTGTATGGCGTTTAATCAAGCATAAACGTACACATTGTCCAGTTTGATTGTAGTTTACTCCAAAAAAATGCTCGATCAAGCTACACAATAGAAACTGAGATAATCCCGCATTCCGACACTAAAATGCTTTAATTACATATTCTTCAGCCTGTTTTTATGTAGTAAATTCTTCGCGTAGTGTTTTCCACAGTCTTCTCTTGCTGGAAGTCCAGGCCGAAGGTAGTGGTAGTACAGGACTTGAACTAACGTGGCACGTCCAATCTGACTGCTGCTCCAACCAGCTCTGGTGTCGTTGATGTGCGCGCCAAATACTCTTATTTCCTCTGCGAGACGCCTAAAAACGATGTGGTGGTGGTCCTAGGACGATGCTCAGTCGGCTTGAGCCTAATTTGATGTTGCATTAATATGATATTTGATTAATATCTCCCACAGAATACATGTTAGTGACTCTTCTCAAGCTTCTGCATTATGAATCAGACCACGCCTCAACTTGTTCGTTGAACTAGGTAATCAGTACCCAGTCCCATATGTTTTTCGATTTCGACCCTCTTTCCCTCCGGAATCCTCGGATATTCCTTTCGACGAGGTATCCTCCCTAGAGTATTTTGCTGTTACTTTGAAATAAAATCCTCGTTCTTTCTTCATATTGACACATTCTCACCACAATCCTTGAGTTCGTTTATTATGTTCATCTTTTGCGTCCCTATCGAACCCTTCAAACCTTAATCTGGAGACTTATAGATGCCTGCATTCTCCCTCTCATGCGCTATTATCCTGTTGTGTTTCCTCCCTTGCTTAAGAGGATATGTTACGGGTAAGATGTGTGCTTCTGTTTCCGATGTTTCTTGTTTCGCTGAAGTTCCACAAGGAAAAATTTTGAATGACGTTGTCCATTCCTTTGCCTTTGAACTAGTTGTCACGACGTCTTTCAAACTTCTGCATCGAATCTTCCGACATGGGCATATCAGTGTTCAGTATTGCCATTGCTAGCAAAATACATTATATATAAAGAAGGGGAATTACTAAAGGATGAACAAACCTTTCCCTGCAGTGGGTCTTCATTTTTATATAAGTTGATCAAGTTTTCCCAATTTTTTCATAAATTAATCTTCTGGCTGTTTTTTCTGATAATTCTGGATTATACTTTGAAACTAAAGCCTGTTCCTCGCTCTCTGGCTGTTTTATTTCATGGCGAAGGTAAGCAAAGTTACCGTTACTTCTGACGGCCCTCTGAATGTAGGGGCTGATCCATGCATCAAACATCTACACGAGCTTTTCTAAGAGGTGGTTGAAATCCTTCGGCAAGTGAGCGACTATAAGGCTACATAGTTTCCAGGGGCGTGGATTTGTCCGCGTGCTCAGTCGACCGCCAAACAGAGAGTCTGTTGCCAACGTAGCACGGCGTCACTGCGAGACAAGGCAAAGCGAAAAAGGTGTGAAAGAGCCGTATCAATCCTTTGCGTCTATGCTTGGCTGAGAGCGCGGACGCGAGTGAATGAAAGTCATAGCAAAATAACATGCGTGAGAGTCCTGCGCAGTCGTAATGACTAATCCTGAACTAGCTGCAACCCTGGCGGTTTAGACCAAAGAATTCTGTGGCACGCCTAGTTGTCAGTTCTTCCCAACACGCACACCCTCATTGGTAAATTTATAAACCCATTTACAGTAGATGCCGTGTTTCATGAAATGCCAACCTGAACTCTCAAATGCGTTTTCGGTTGGAAAAATTAATAAAGTAAGCTTGTAATACTGATTATCGTACAGCCTTATTATAAAAATATTCCAGTGCTGTCGGAGTGTCGGGTTTTGAATGAACCTTTTTCTAACCGTATGCAAAAAAATATAAAGTGTAAAAATCAATTCTTATGTAGAATTGATTATTTTCTTGATTTTCGTAACTCTAAAAGTCCAAAAATTTTTATAGAAAACATATGCCTTTGTATATTATGCCTTCTTCAAAATATATACTTGAAGAAACAGTACCTTTTGTTTCTCAAAAAGGTTCTACTTATGACATTTTTAAGAAAATGGAAGGTTCACTCATAAAAAACTGTATCCTCCAGTCAAATAAAGTCGGATTTTCCAAGAAAACTAGGATCATTGCATGTCTATTAAGGTTAGTCCTTTTAAAATCCGCATATCGCTGAAGCAGCACTCTTGTTTCTCACCAAGGGAAGAAAACGAACCCTGCTTTTTGATTAACTCATTGGGTTTTAATTTGTCCCTATTGTACAAAAGGCCATTGGACATTAAAGGTGATTCACTTGGATTTTATGAAATTGAAATGTTAATGTTTGCCGGACCCAAAGATTGTACAAATAAAATTTTTAAGTCGCTACATTGTGCACATAAGTAAGGACGCAATGCGCGTGTTGGCGATAATTTGCTAACGCAAGGAAAAAAGCATCAACCAAAAAGCAAAAAAATAGGTCAGAAACTCAATTAGTTCCACAGTTGGGCTCGACATAGGGAAGTTGTTAGAAAGGCCTTGCTGGATTATTAGTTTAGGGACTATCCACCTGTCCTCTGCCGATGATTGCCCACAACCGTGAAGAAAAGAACAACACTGCGATGCGTATTTTGGCTGAAAAATTGGGGCACCACCAGAAAGGAGGGTCATTACAGGGGTGTGGGTTCATCGGCAAGCTCGTTGATGTTTGCTTTGCGTAGGTCGTCCGGATGAAGTATGCTCACCTCCTCTGGATGTTTAAGTAGCTTGCGGCGACGTTTGCGAGCGGCCTCTACGCTCAGCAGGGTTCCAAATCCTCCATTGTCAGTCTCATCGGCGTTGTTGACGGCTGTCACTGCCGGAGCCTGGTAATTTTTGTTCGCCTTAGACGATTTGGTGAGTATATGCTTTCGCCGGCGGAAAAATCCGAACCGGTAGAGCAGAATAATAAGCAGAGCTAGGAGAATGATGCCGAGTACCAGACCGACAATAATGGGCCATATGGGAATTTGACGGAGGAGTTTTGGTTTCGCCTGGGGAAAATAAAACGTCTGGGCAATTTCAAAGTGGCCGACTGGTTCTGGAGCCCTAAGGACGCCGGGCGGGGTGAAACCTTGATCAGCCGTCATTGTGGTGACAATCTGAAATTTTCAAAATGCATGTGGTAATATCCAGCGCCAATTGACGATAAATAAGGCAGAATATGCAAAGTATCCTGAGTTTTAACGCAAAAGGCCCCTTTATGGACACCTTGGAAAGAAATCTAAGAGTAATTCGAATTAGAAAAGTCCAATATCAATTTCATGAGAACCTCCTGAGTCTAAACGCAAAATAAAATTATTAGGCTATTTTGTCTGGGGAGAACGAACAACAAAACGACCCATGTCAATGTTTGTTATAGCAGACCTATATCTTATCGGGTTTTAAGACTGGCCACGGCGGTTTATATAACGTTCAAAGTGAAAATTTCCAGAAGTCTCCGACTTACGGCCACTTTATTTATACTTCATCAACTCTTTTTTATCAAGCAAAGAAGATGATTGTCCGGATAAAACCGTTGGTATAAAATACTCGTTGTGTTCGAGTCCCAGTCAAACGATTTTACTAGCACTTTCGCTCTCCATTCAGATATGCACAACGTTAAGTAAATTTACCTAGAAGATTTTGGTAGACGTACATGCAATTAGGTACGTTACCATTCATATAAAATTGAAGCTCCTCTGGTGTTTGCAAGAGCAATATTAAGCAATCTAATCTACCCAATAAATTTTTTTATTATATCCGAACGCTCTTC